GGCCCGGTGGTAACGTCAGCAAATTATCACTCCGAAGGATGTGTGCCTGATTTTCTCCACTGTGGATTGTACGGCCGCCCTTTGATTGACCGCTTCCCTCTCCCTGAAAATTGTTTAATTGTATAATCAATAGAAGGAAATAAAAAAAGAAAAAGAGAAAAAGAACCTACGTACATAACATTGAGTGGCCGTATTGATTGATAGATTAACTGGTACAAATGAAATGTTTCAACAAATACACCCAGCTTTGATGAATAAATCTAATGAAGACTATATATAGATAGATCTGGCGAATTTTATAAAACACCAAGAGACTGAAGCATAGATTGCAAACTAGGAAGTGTTGGGCAACCATTTAAATCCGGCAAGGTTTCAACACCAATAAAATTCCATCAAAACTGAGACCGAACAGGTCGAAATAGTTGTCCAGTGCGTTTTAGCTTTTCAGCTCATTCTTTGTTACCTCCTTGTGCGATGCAATTCGCCACATATTCAAATTAAATGCTCCACTATTAGCATGTAGCATACATATGGCTTGTTTGTTAAATTTTACCACATTGACGCACATCACTACTTAAACTCATCAATGAACTGCGAAAAAACCAAACACTCACCTGTGCAGGTGAAAATAGAACCACTCTTTAACCGCCATTCCCCCCCAGTTGGAAGCCTACAATAAATTGTTGAGCAGTTTTACTTATTTCTACATTTCGGAATGTCCAGTGTCTTTTTTGTGTGTGCAACTTACTTCACTCGTGAATACTAAGAAGCATACGAAAAAAGCAGTTCAGATTCGTTGTCTCAGAAGGTGAATGGGTAAGTGCATCAAAATTTGTTTTTAATTTTGTTCGGAATCTAGAATGCTTTAGTGAATTGCTTTTAGTGGACGAAAATCTAGATGTTATTTTTGGGGCTTGCAAGTTGACTTGCATTCAACCAAGCGTCCATAAAGTCTACGGAGCGCATAATTAACAATAAAATGAAATATTGTGTTTTATTTTCGGCATTCATTATGGGTTGCATTCGTTTTTCTTCATGTTCAGCAGATTCAGGAGTTGCGGATAGGGAACAACAACGCCAGTCAATCAGTGTGTTCCAATAAAAAACCACCCAAGCAATGGATCTTGAATTGTCTGTTGTTTATGAATAGTCCAAAAATAAAAAGGGGTGTAAGATGATCTTTACATATTTGTTTATTCAAGCTGTGGTAAGTGCACAGGTGAGTTATAATGAGCAAAAAGGAGTGGAAAAGTTGACCCACGTCGGAGTGGACGGGGATTAACTGGTGCCAAGGCGACTGTCAAGCCTTCTCTGTTGCTATTGATCTTCTTCGAGGGCAAACACAGTTTAATGTGAAAACGTAATGCAAACATGATTACAATACAATACAATAATACAGTACAATACAATTAGTACGAGTAATAAGCAGTAGTAGTAGCACCTTTCCGGAGTAGCCGTATTCTCCATCAGTATCAGAAATAGGTTTTGTGTTTCATCTGTCTTATGCGATAGGACTTTCAGGAGAAATCTTGGCGAAGCATGCGTCGCGCCGAATGCGTATGATGAAATTCATTAACCGACCCCCAATTTACCCATGTTGGACCTCTCGTCAAGGTTTGCTCAACAACGCTTTGTCCGTATTTCCGCAGTCAGTCCACCATATCTAGTTTAAAATATATCACTTATGAAAACAGGATATTTATTATATATTTTCACACCCTTCTGCAACCCAACTTTGTGCTAAAGAAACTACAATACAATAAATAATCTTTAGAGAAGGAGAAAGTTCCATGATTCACCTTTGGGTTGCCTAGACCAATGCATGTGAATTTTCTTAGTGATTTCACAACCAGCGCCTTTGCCTAGTCAACTTCTGACCCCAAACCAGCGGGTGGTNGGGTGGTGTGTAAAAATTGCATTCCATTGGCGGACGGTGTTCAGTTAATCAGATCATGCACGTTTTGGGTCAAACTACGATGGTGTGTCTAACTGAGCCGGTGACCAATACCTCAACCAGGAAGCTATAAGTTGGTGTGGTTCGTACGGCTCCTCTTGCTTATATTGGAATCAAGGTTTGTCGTGGCCATCTGCCCTAGGTAAACTCTCACTGATTCGCCAGCTTCGGGTGTTGGATTTTCGCGGGAAAACAATACCACTTAAAAACAATGAGCAGTTTTGCTTCAGCCGCGGCTTTTTGGAGACGCTTGATCGGTAGGTGTATTTCTCGAGACGCAACGGAAAGGTCACCAGCAAGAACCCAAAACACCCGTTCCCGGTCATCATGAGGATTTTGCAAGCAGTGTGGTTAGAAATAAGTTTATCAATAAATTCGTACTAAAATTTAGACTGATATATTCACATAGATTATTAATCAGGGAAGAGAGAGAGAGAGAGAAAGAGTCAAGTGAGATAACAATATTCCCCTCCCCCCCACCCCGCATCCAATGCTAAAACTAACCCCAAGACCGACTTGAGATTTGGCGATACAACGAGAAAAAAAATTTACAGATTCGTGAGTTCCATGGAAAATAAAACCAAGCGAATGCAAAGCTCATGAACAAGAGGCACAATTGTGTAATCTGGGGTTTCAATCAACAAACCATGTGTGGGCTCGCTATGAATGTGCAAACTGCTCAATGGAATTATCCCACCAGAAAACACCTTTAAATGTGTCGCATTACTCTGCTCTCAACTACCGACCGACTTTGACTATTGTTCGGAGGTTATCTTTTTAGTTCAGTTTTTCGGCTGTTTCAAACTACATACTCTGTTTACGGTAAGACCGAAATGATTGTGTTCATTGAACTAAGATTGCTGTTTGATCGGTCAAACTAGATTGTGAAGGTTTCTGACAACCTTGTTCGACCAGAAATGTCGGCAGTTCAGATAACGCGTTGAAGAGGGCATGCCAAGGTACCCCGAAATAGGACAGATAATTCGATAGCGTTTTTGAAAACCTAACCTCATTTTTTGCGTTTATCGTTCGAGGCCTAGAGAAATGACAAAACGAACTTCGATAATCCTGCAGCCATGGGTTACAAATAATCTCTGTTTGATGGGCTGGCGTCTGTCTCATCACACTGCTTAGGCTCTTGTATGATGCTTCCACACTCTACTACAGGTAACCTAATTTATGAACGCCTCAGTTGAGCTTTAGTCAGGGTCGTCATAAACCAGACGTGGACACATGCATTCTTGCATGTGGTAACCTTATGATGAGCGAGAGTTTCATTTTAAAGACATCTGCTTCACAGATGTGACACAGACCTCCAGGGAAATGTTGAATTCAGCTTTTCGATAGGTTTCTACGAGGAAAGCTCATCGTTCAACTCATTCGACAAACACGCCGATCTAACGGCCTCATTTTTCAGTTGAATGTTCCAACCAGTTTATTTTACACATTTGGTCCATTGGAGACTATGCACAGAAAAGTTTAATTCCATTCCCATATGATTTTTTCCCGCTATCTTCCTACAGAAGCAAGACCGGTGATTTTGCCTTGGAACTTATTCTAGCGTGAATTCTTTGACTGAATTCATGCTTCGTTTTAGCTATATGTTTACTTAAACGACAAACTTTGCAAATGTGTGTGTTCGGCGATAAGTGAGAGCAGACGACCAATGATGATTCCTAGACTTTCTTTTCGGAATAAGAGTTTATAGAAAGTTTGATGCTTGAGTAAAAAGTTCATCATAATGCACAAACAGTGTGTGGAAGGTGACTGTGTAGAGCGTGTAGACATCAATGCACTTGCTAAACCAGGACGTGGGAGCGTTTGAAATCACCTGTACCTTTCTTTGCTTCGTCTCCGGTTGTTTATAAGAGTTAGTAGCCTATTTCTTAATCATTATAATTTTTTCCCTTTTTTCTTCCTAGCAAAGAGTGTGACATGTGTAAGGCTTGATCCTTTTGATCACCAGTGTGGGCTTAGCGGCAACAATTTACCTGATAGCGTACAGAATTGTATTGCTCAAATACGTTGACAAAATTTCAACTAAATTTATTGTGGTTTTTACTACGTTCTCCGTGGGGAAGCGGGGCATTTTTCTAATGTTTCCTCTCTACTATGGTTCTGAAAGTGGCCTTTGATTACTTTTAAATTATGGAAAGATCATTAACCTCGATAGAATTCGAACCGACTCAAACAGACGCTTAGGCTGTTTGTTCAAAGTACGGTGTTTTAGAAGATAGAGATAGAGACTTGGATTCGAATCATGAACGTAATTTTTTTCAACCCCTGCCTCAGTTCATCACTGTCCTGTTATGCATTGTTCTGCCTTTCAGATATGGTCAACACGGTGCGACCTGATGAGCGTTCAGTTATGACCTATGTGTCTGCCTATTATCACGCGTTTGCCGGGGCGCACAAAGTGAGTTGTACAAAATCGCACTTCATTCGATCTCGTCAAGTCTGTTTGTGACCCCTTTTGAGTATGAAGTTAACACTGAATTCCCTAAAACGAAGAGCTCAAATTTTTCTCTTTTTAAGCACCATTTCACCTCGAGACCTACCAAATAAGCAAATAAGGTGGGAATTCTTTTGGAGAGAAATGAGAATACCCTGGTTGGTAATGATTTCATTTTTATTTCGTGTGGTTTTGACAGTCGAAAATACTTCAATATCCTTTTCCCTCCACTTCGCTCTACTCTCGTTTTGTATTCCAATCCCTCCTCTCCAGTGTGTTGTGGTTAGTATTGATATGGTATTGGAACCGTGCTTAGTGTGATGGAAATGTTTCCCATTATCACTACAATCTGTGTTTTTCGAGTGCTACAGTTACGAGTACGGAAAATCGAAGTAAAGTACTATATAATCACAAGATAAAAAATCTGATTATCACGTCTGGCCCTCTGTAAGCCTCGTTTAGGTTTCCTAGTGTTATGATAAATCACGAGTAACGGCGGTCGGATGACAACCCATAACTCTGATCGGTGGTTCGGGTGTGTACAATCGTGCTGTGAGACCGGTAAACTTGTCAAGCATCGAATGGGTTGCGGTGCAGTCACTCAGACACACTAGAAATTATCTGCACAGAGAAACGGAAAGCACATATTGAAATATTTATCGACCATGGAATGGGCAATACAGGTTCTCGGAACGCTTTGAACCCCACTGTAATTTTTGTGCGTGTAAAGAATTAATTTTAGTCTTATTTCAACAGCTTTGGAATATCTGTCACTGACCAGTTCGTTTATCTTAGGAATTTAGAGACATCAGGTCAAAGCACTCAAATTTGACTAGATCAACGTTAGTCCTTTGTATAATGGCGGTATTTCGTAAAGTGGATTACTATATTTACCTTCTTATAGTAAGAGGGATACTAAATTTTGGTCAATTCCGCAAAATTTTATTGTTCGTTTTTGGGGGTGATTATGAACAGGATTTTAATTACTGTCAACGTAATTCTTCAACCCAAACTAATCTCTTTGCAGAACAGAATTTGTTGATTTTCAAACAAGCTATTCGTTTTGAGTTCGAATAAACTCATTTGTTTTTTGGTTAAATTCAGGTTCTGTAAGTTTTTTTTCTGATTCACTCTACTATGAACAAGAACTGAACTAGGGGGTGATGAACTCACAGAAACGAGAACCATTGTCGTAAAAAAGTCGCACAGTAATCAGCTCAACAGCAACTCCTCACTTAACCTCTATAATAAGTCTGCTTGATTTACTGGCTGCTTACTCTCTGAAAGACTTATCCAAGGAAATAAATATACGTGTGGTTAAGAAAGACGATGAAAAAACCAACATTTCAGATTTATGTGATATGCAACCAGTTTTAACCTATTCTATAGGAGGGGGCTTATGGCCCCTTTGAATGTTGCCAAAAGAGACGTGGTTTTGACAACCTTCGTTAAGAATTAAGGAAGATAATAGGCTATCAGCCTCTTCCACTTCATGATCACAGCTCTAGATCACACAGGGAAGTCAGCATTTACCGATCATGAATGAGATCAAAGAATGCAACCTCAAAATCCACTGAAGCCGATGTTTGTTTGCTCTCCTATCGAACTTGGACGTGAAATGTAGAATGAGTGATTGTTGGCACTAATCCTATCGTAATGGTGGGGAGAATTAGCAACAATTTCTCAGGTGAGTAGAAGATGAATGATTATTGTTAGAAAAACGCAGTCTGTGAGATGGTGCAAATTCATACACTTTAAGTCAGCGCGCAATCTGATCCGTAAAAGATGTTATACCTATCGATTGGGTTCCGGGTTATACGAGAATAATGAGCGGCTCGAATAAATACTTAGAACAGTGTATGCTTTCACCCTAACCTGTTGATGAGTTGCCGAGTTATAACCATTCGAACGCGAGAAACAATGGAACCATCCAAAGACTGCATGACAAGCAAAAAACAATTGTGCACAAGTTTGGGGACACCTCTATTTTGCGATACTCAATGCGGACTGTAGAGCCGAGGTTTAGTGCTGCAAATTTATCCTATTGACTTGTTCAATTTTTGTGATCAACTTATTTTTCTGGACACAGATTTTAGCTCGTGACACTTATTGGCAGTCGAGATAAAAAATGCCCGAATATATTTTCACCTTTTTGATCGCATTCATAGGTCAGAATGCATCTGAACGATTGTTCTATTCTTTTTCACTCCCAAACGGGAACAGGTTAGTCAATCGATTCTCACGGTGTGAAGTGCACCGACGGAAAATAAATACCTCCAAAACTATTTATGTTCACATAGTAATTGTTCCCATCCTACATGTGTCTTGTGGTACCCAACTGCTCCTCTTGATGGGTGCGTGTGTGTGTGTCGACTGGTTGAAAAACAACAAGCTGTCAAAATCATTTGCTAAAAAAGAAACATTTGACTGTTGATCACGTACTTTGACGTTTTTACCTAATAGAGGTCTCGGCAGAGTGGTTTGTTTAGCATGGCATGCGGAACCAAACGAATGATATACATATT